AAATTGAATCAAAGGATTAATCAAGTTATCATTAAAATCATCCATCCATTTTGGTGGAGTTTAAACTCAACACCCAAGATCCAATGAATTTGATGAAACTTATGATCCAATTGCCTATGATCCAATTACCTATGATCCAAGACCATCAAAAATATATACAAAATTATAATTGCAATTAACAAGCAAAATATGATAAGAAAATGATTTTTAAAATGAAAATATAAGAGTAAAATAGAAAACTATATTCAAAACATCAAATAAATTTCAAACAAGACCAAAGAAAAATCAGAAATACTATCTAATATTTTTAGAATTTTTTTGGTAATTTTAGAAATCAGAAATGCAATTTTAAACTAATTAAAATCAAATAAATAAGTGAAAAATGAATAAAAATAAAAAACACCAAAATAAAACTCTGGAAAATTACTCAAAGTCAGAAATAAAGAGAAGAATTTTTATGAATTTTTTCGGATTTTTCTGATTAAAAATTGATTTAATATAAATTATTAAAGCTAAAAACAAATTAAAATTTAAATAATAGAATAAAAATAAAGCAGAAAATTATGAGCCATTGATCAAGTCAATCTGGTTAAAGTATGTAGGATCTATGATTCAGAATAAAAGTGTATGATAACAGTGTAGAGTGAGCGCACAAAGAATAAATATTCACATCATCTTCTCAGGTGGAGACAAGTGGCTTCGATAGCCACTTGTCATCCACCGAGACCCGCACGGATCCAGAGGAGAAAGGATAACAAACAAAATATCTACTCGTTAAAATTAGAAAAGAAAACTTTTTAGATTAAGCATTTAAAAAAAAACTAGTAAGAAACTTGTGCTTTCGCACGGGTCCCGTTTGGATTCACATCACATGTCTATCAAATCATCATTTGTAAAATTTGAATTCATTCTTCAATTGATTAACATTCACATAGTTATAAATATAGATTAATAATATGCACCAATTTTTATGAATTGATAAAATTTAAAAGATGAACATTAAAATAAACGGCCTACAGCTAATGTACCTGTAGATTTATACTCTTAGATACGTTCACAACTAATTAGCTTGTTTAACTAATTAGTTTGTTCCTACAAAACACTTGTTTTTGGTAGCATTTTTTCAGGATAAATCCATTCTATTTGTAGATATATTTTTAAAAATATTTATAACTTACTCACATTTATAAAAATAATTGTAACTTATCGTCATTTATAAAAATAATTGTATCAATATGTAAATTTTTTCTCGTTTAAAGTGTCTTGAATCCGTGTGTCAATTTATAAATAATGTTTGTAATTTATTTCCGTTTATAAAAATAATTATATCAATAGTTGAAATTTTCCCGTTTATAAAAATATTTATAACTTATTCTCCTTTATAAAAATAATTTTATCTTATTCCGTTTATAAAAATAATTGTATCAACATGTAGACTTTTTTCCAATTATAAGTGTCTTAGAAAATAACAAAAACATTCTCTTGAAAAACATAAATAAAATATTATAAAATCATACAATCCAAATTTGTCTTCAAATATTATCTATTTATTGGATTAAAAATTATATTATAACACATATAAAATAAATTCTCTTGAATTATAATTTTTTAGATAAATTTTTGTAACTTATTTTTATTATTATTGTTATTGAAAATATTTTCTTGTTTTTTGTTGATTGATATTTTTAAATATAAAAAATAATTTACCTATTTATTTTATAAAATATTTTTCAATAATTCATAGTTTTTTGTTAATGAATAAAAAATATTATTAATTTATTATAAATAAAATAAAAAATGTATGTGCAACAACATACAGTAATTTGTGATGATAATTAAAGTACGAGTTTTCCGATAAAAGTTACGAAAATAATTTTTTTAACTATATATAAAATCATTTTTAAAAATATTTCCAAATTAAAAAAAATTAATATGTTAATATTAGTTGTATGATGAATAAAATAGATAATTTAAAAATATTTTTCTCCATCAATTGACTTAAAAAAAACTAAAACTCAACTTTCATATTAAAATAAAATTAAAATAATAAATAATAGTTGAGGCATAATAAAAAATAATAATGATTATGATAAATAATAAAATAAAAAAATATTTAAGCGATTATAACGCAAATTTCTTTAATAAATAACTAAAATATTTATTTTAGTAATAAAATCTATGTACGTGATTGATTTGCATAAAAATAAAAAACATAACGTGTGAAATTTAATTTATTATAAATTATAGTATGATTTAGTTTTCAATTCAATAATAATGATTTAATTTAATTCAATAATAAAAATTTATAAAATGTAATTTATCTCATAATATTATCGTGAACATTTCATTTTTAAAACTAATAATATTGTGTATTTAAATTTGAAATTTAAAGATAGTTTTCAAAAGAGAAAGACTAACAATTAATAAAAAAATATCTAAAGTTTTTAAGTAATAAGTAGCGGGAGCAGTCAAATATTCCCTTGATAATAAATTAAATTTTTTTCCCTTTCAAGTGGTCACAATTTATTATAGAACTATCTTATAGAAATAGTAGATATATAAATAGTAGATATAAAGTGAGAAGTAGAACAAATATGCTTTGAGAATTATATACTTCAACAATTAGGTCAATTTAGTTTTCTTTTCTTTTTCTTACTGTTTCCATCACTATTTTAATTATATTTTTGAAAAAAATATGATATATATAATAGAATTTTATAACATTTTTAAAATATTATAAAAATAAATATATGTAATTAAAATATAAAATAATATTCAACATCTCAAATTTTCTTTATAATTATAATAGCAATTAGTTAGCAGCTATATTTTTCTTTTGAGAGATATAATTCCGAGTATTTTACTGTTTTAGAGTTGTGTTAAACTAAATGGTGAAATAGTAATAAGATAAACAATGTATCTTACATGGATTGCTTCAAAAATTCATTAGATAGAGATCAATAAACATGACCTTACCAATGAAAACATGCTACATTAATAACATTGGGATATAGAAGAGCAAAGAGAACTTTGTTTCATTTCAATAAACAAAATCAAACAGTCTACATAAAACAAAAAAATTTAGTAGAAAAAGATGCAGCACTATGTATATGCTCGAAGTAGGATAGAAAAACTATCAACATTTCAATATAAAAAGCTTCTTACTGATTTCCTTCTCATGAACCACAATATAATTTTCTCAAACCTGAAACATTTTTTCTGCATGATTCAATATCTAAAAGATTAATTGATATATAAAAGTGCAATTAAATTTATGTAATGAAATTATAATTACAAAGTTTAAACTAGTATTTAATAAAATGTTAAAAGTTTTGAATATATATATATTATGAATCACGAACACCTCGAAGAGGACCTCGACATTAACACAATGACACGATAATAATTCGGAAAAATAAATAATTTAAACATAATCACAAGTGTTGGTGGATGTGTCCAACACGGACACAGACAATATAGCTTTAGACATTGTATATACATTATGGTATCAAAAAGTGATTACAACAACACTTTAGTGTAGCAGTACTCTGTTTAGTATAAAACATTGTCAAATAGAAGCACTACAACACTATTGCATAGCGAATTTGAACAAACTGTGAATTTTGTGATCAGTGATTGACAACACTTCATTTGAGATAAATTCAGGGTGTATTATGTTGGGAGTATAAATCAGTAGCTTCAATCTGAAAGTCAATGCACCAATAATTAAATTAATTGTTAGACAAACTCAAAGATGGCATGAAAGTGCACCAATAATATATACACTCATGTCAAAGTATATATAAAATCACAACGTAAGCATCTGCATTCCTTACTTCAGCAAAATCCTATATATCCAAACCAGGGATTTTAACCATTGCAGACAACCACATTGCAAAATAAACAAACAATCCAAAAACAAAGTCAAGATGAAAATGGAATTGGACTTCTTATTAGAACTTATGTTTAGATTCAAACAGGATTAGACTTCTTTGTAGAATTGTCTGTAGAAAAACTTTCTTGTTAATAAATTATTTCTACGAATACCGTGAAATGTTTAACAATCAATACAACCTGAAGTGTGTAGCTACTCATTGTATAATTTGATCCAGCTTTTTCAAATGGACACTAAAGCATTTGTGATTGAAGGGAATAGCAAATTTCTAAGTCACTGTCATGAGTATCTACAATTTTTTTTGTAAGATTTACCGGTAGAACACTAATGTACCAACAACATATGTTAAAAACTTCTATTACAATTCATGTTAAAAATACTAAGCTTCCACCCTTATATTGGCACTAAAGGAATACAACGGCCCTCAAATAATCTGCAGAAGTAGAGAAGTTTGCTAAGAGATTGAATAAGCAAAATGAAGAATAAGTTCTAAAAGTGAGACTTGGATAATTAACCATACCATCCTTGATTGTGCTCTTGCATCTCCAAAGTCATTAAAAATACCAATGTACCAAGCACATGGAGATATCTGAACAAAAATTCTTATGTTTATCATTTACGATATTGTGAAAGGACTCGTAAGAAAAAAAAATACTTCAGACACATTACTAATGAAGAAATTTTGATGATGTACAAAGGCGTTTAATACATAATATTGATGTATGCCTAATGCAAAACCGTAAATCATTGTTAAACATTGTTGCTGCTCAATAATTATAGACAACCAATTGTAAATTATTAGCAACTTAAGTTCTTTTAGCAATTTTCTCCTCGCGTGTTGCACAGGTTTTCAATACTACTTTTGATAGCATGTCAGGTATAAATATTTCATTATGAACATCGAAACAACGGATACACTGAACTTAAGATACAATAGCATCACAAACAAATAAAGATACTACGAAAAGTAAAAGGACTTATAAGTTGTAACATTACCAGCTCATTAGTTAACTTCATATTTATATTGCTCCACATCAAGATCTTTTATACAGTTGATAATTTCATAGATGTGTTTAAAGCATCAAGTAGAAGAGGACTTCCATCTCTAAAGCATATTATTGGCAGCGATCGTTTTGGAACCCTTTTGATTCTTGCAACATCCTGAAAACAATACATTAATAGCTCAATGAAAGAGGCAGTCTGAAAAACGCAGACGCAGACAACACAACTGTCAGTTTGATTTATCACATAAAGGTATTTGGATTTTTCGTTAACCTAATGGTATGCATTAGAAATGAACTACTTTGAACATGATGTATATTAAACATTTTCTCGTAGAGAATAGTGATTCAATAGAGTAATAGGCTAAAATAAATGGCTATTTTATTATGTAACAATGTCAACATCATTGAGCAATAGAAATGTCAACATAAATAGTATGAAAGCATGCTTGTATCATGAGTTGAACTTTTTCACGACAGTATAAATCCAAATCATCGATATCAAGCATAATAATACTTTTTCACGACAGTATAAATCATGAGTTGAACTTTTCACGACAGTATAAATCATGAGTATAAATCAAGCATAATCATGAGTTGAACTTTTTCACGACAGTATAATACTTTTTCACGACAGTATAAATCCAAATCACGACAGTATTCATTGTCCAATAAATACATTTATGGTTGATTTGTAATTCCCACTTATAGAAGAAGTCTAATAGTTATCATACACTATAATTACATATTTAATTAAATAAAAATATTAAGAATAATTGATCGAGTGACACGTTAGACATATCAAAGGAATATAATTGAAGCAACGTAATAATAAATCACTTTTATCTCTAAAATTAGAAAAATTAAAACTTGAAGTCAGAAGGATATGAGTGGATTTTCCGAATCTTTAAAGTTTATATATTTATATCAGTACCGAATCTCTTGAGAACAAACACTCTCATTCTCTTTCTCTTAACACTTCTGTTTCCTTTTCCTTTCAATAAACAAAACAATCAAAAATTAAAAGAGATAGAGGATTAAACATGGTGGAAGAAGGAAGAACAGACGACACAGGGTTATGAATATGCGGCTGAGCACGACGATTTCTGGCGAAGCTCAAGGCGGCTCTGCCGTGAGTAGCTCGGAATCGATTTTTTCTAAATATTTTTCTTGATCCGTTTTCTTCCCTTGTTTCAAATCTCAAGTTAGTTTTCAAAGAAAATAGAGCAAAAGGAGTGGATCTACAAGAGAAGTCCGTAACTTCCAAGGTTCTAAGCAACATCAAACAACACAGAAACGAAGAAACAAGGCCGGATTCGCATTCAGAAGGGGATTAGCAACCTTTTGATGCAAAAATGTTAAAGAACTGTGGTGGGGGATGGCGGTTTCGGCAACGACCGTAGGGCTCTAGCGGCGGTTTTCTAGTAGTTCCGGTAAGCTTTGTTTCTCTTTTTCTGTGTGTTTGTATTTTCTTCTAAATAACTCCCTCTAATCAGTGTCAAATGATGCTTTATATAGAACTAGAATTATTAGCTTTGTGTGAATGAAATGATTTTTGGTTGAAGTGGATGAAATTGGAATATTAAAAATTCTGTTTGAAAGAGCCCAACGAAATGCTTCATGTTAGGGTCCAGAAATTAAATTGTTTTGTTGTAGTTTTGATGCTTCTTGGGCCTGACTTAAATCATGTTGTTGGATTTTTGGAATTATGAAATTTGTTGGAACGGAACATAATAGTTATTGGACTGGTTTAGTTGGACAGCATAGCATGTTGAAATGAGTTTGAATTGAATCGTTGTGGATTGCTAACTTCACCCTTTCATATTGCTTCATTTTTCATGTATTGAGCAATATTGTGAGCAGTGCTTGAGGTATGGAGGATTGTAGAAGAAGGAATGCACATGTGTCTTAGCAGGAAGACTTGAAGTTAGGGGTATGCAGAAAAACCAGTTATACATAACCAAATTGGTATTCAAATTATTCTACTTTTTAAAACCCAACTCAATACTATATTTTAAAACTGGGGCCCTTTTAATAAAATTAACAAAATCGGTACCCATATGCTAAACCAGTTCAGCTTATTGGGTACCAGATTCAAAATTGTGTCTCTTTCTCACTTATCCCAGCCGCACAACGAAATCAACCGAAATCCAAAACCCTGATCCTAAATCCAATGAAATCCATGAAATCTTTCTTCATATTCAACAAAATCATCTAAACCACAACTATGGGTTTACTAAAATAGTTGTAAAATCGATGGATTCGTTCTTTAAATTCAATAAAGTCGTCCTTTGACAACATCGTCAAGCTCTCTTCTGTGTTTGAGGTAAGTAAATTTCTACTTTGAAGCTTTTTAGTTTCATTTGAACCTTTTTTTATTTATTTTTAATTCAATCGATTGTTTTCACGATTCATTCATGCTTGTTTCTGAATTTTGCTTGAACTTGGTGTCAATTTTGTTTCTGAATTTTGCTTGAACTTGGTGTGAATATTGGTGTGAATTTTCTGAATGCAATAAAGACTTAATATATTTAGGGGTGTGCATGGATCAATAACCAAACCAAATTGAACCATATATATGATTTGTTTTGGATCTTAAAACTACTTCATTAAAACCAGTTTATATTTCTAAAACCGGTTTACATGTGGATCGGTTCGGTTTTGAACTGGTTTCTCATAAAAACCAGTTTTAAAAAAAAAAAAATTTAAACCGATTTTTCTAAAAACCAGTTTTTAATTTAAAAAAAAAAATCAATTTCAAAGCAGTTTTATAAAAAACCAGTTTCAAAATCAATTTTATAAAAAAAACCAGTTTTAAAACCAATTTAAAAAAATAAAGTTTTATATCAAAAATAATTTTTTATTTTTAAAAGTTCTAAAATTATTTTATGTTAAAAAGACTAATTTTAAAAAAATTGATCATTTCTCAAAATTTATGGTCATTAACAATTTTAAAACATATGATATGTGATTTTACCTTAAGATATAGTAAAGTAATTTCTCAAAAATTATGGTAGCATAGCCACAATTCATTATTTGACAAGTGAAATAGTTGGTAAATTCTTTGACACAATACTTGTTGATTATATAGGGAATGTGCAACATCCTTCACTAATTCACAAAACTAACAAGATTTAAAATCTTAAAGTTACATTGTAAATTTATAGGGGTATCAAGAGCCAGATTCTCAAGATTGTCTTTAGCAACACAATTTTCTGGAAGACATTTCATTCCTATACTTCCACCAGGATTCTCCCCTCTGATGACAAAAACCCAACTGTCTGAACTCTTCCATCAAGTCTGCAACAGAGCCACAATTCATTATTTGACACAAGTGAAATAGTTGGTGAATTCTTTGACACAGGTGAAATTGTAGCTCAAAAGTGGAAAGAAAATGCATATATAAAACTTTAGAATTCTTTACCGTTAAGTCCTCTTCGAGCGCAACAGAGGTTGAAGAGGTTGAACAACTATCACCATCTTTTGTATAAAGTAATTCTACAAAATATATAAATACATTTCATTATGCCTCAAGTATAATAAATAATAATACATTAGCGAATATACTTAGTTATCATACCTTGCTCCAATCTCTCAAGAATATCAAAATCTTTATTTGTAATCAATGATGAAGATGTTCCTTTAAGCCAATCCTGGGTGCATATCAGTGCTTCAACAGTTGTTGGTGTTAATGAGCTGCGATATGGATCAAGCACCCTTTCTCCTGTGCTAAATGCAGATTCAGACGCCACTGTGCTTATTGTTATAGCAAGCACGTCTCTTGCAATGTTTGCAAGAATGGGATAACGACCAGAATTTACTTTCCACCACTCGAGAACATTTATCTCCATGTTATGTTCTAACTTCTCTCTAAGATAAGTGGTTAACTCATTATCTGCATTGTCACACCCTTCTGAAAGATAAAACTCAGCAGTTCCGTATGGATGACTAACATTACTAAAAACTTGCGACTCATGTGGATTACCTTGAGGAGGCATAAACCCAGTACAATATTCCTCATAAATAGATTTCAAGCAAGACTCTAAGGTTTCTTTCAATGCATCAGCATCAACCTTATTATAATATCGTCGTACCATCCAATCAAACAATCTAACCTTGCGCCTAGGGTCAAAAACTAGAGCAATCAACAACATCATGTTAAGTTTTTCATGAGATCTCCAATACTTATCATACTTCTTTTTCATCTTTTGAGATGATGAACGTAGATGTTCATCTTCACACGCACACATATCCACAATGCTCTTTCCAATACCCAAGACCTCAAACATATAAATATTGCTTGTCAAATAAGAAGACCCTGATATATGTACAGTAGCATCATAAAACAACTTCAAGAATGGAATGATTAAGTTGATATGCTTCCAATCGTCTTTCGTCGGGACACCTTTTCCCTTTTTTGTCAACTCATTCACATACCTAGCACAACAAAAAATGTTCAACGTCAAGTCAACTTTATATAAATTCTTCCTTAAAACATAAAATGTCAAATAGTTTAGTCATGTGAAGTTTCTTACTAAATGCTTGGAGAGGAAAGTATACATGGTTGAGATATTGTCTTCAATAATCCTTTTATAACTTATGACAATGTAATTAGCTGTTGTAGCTATTACTTGTTACACTAAGATAAATTATGTACTTGCATAATTTTAGAATAGCCACGACAACAACAATAAAGTGTTATTGTGTTAGTTTCTATTAATATATAAACTTTATCACCTTTATAACTATCATAATAGAATAACTAACTAGCAGTATATGATTGCAAAACTAATTCACATACCTTTTATTTTGAAAACCTAATTCTTCAAAGGTTCTTTCATGTTTTGATGCAGATACTAACATCAAATAAGTTGAATTCCAACGAGTCTCAACATCTAGAGAAACTAAACCTTTATAGTCCATACTCTCCTCATCAATACATGCCTTGAATTTAGCAAGCCTCGCGGGAGAAGATCTAGTATACCAAACATCATGACGAACTCTATAAACAGAATCATCAATGTCTTTCAAACCTTCTTTCACAATTAAATTCAATATGTGTGCGCAACACCTCATATGAAAATGGTTTCCACTCATAACTAAACTATTCTTAGACAAAAGCCTTCTCTTGAGACGTTCAACCCCAACATCATTAGATGAAGCATTATCATCCGTCAAACTAAGCACGCGATTTAAACCTCAACTATTCAAACATATCTCTATTGTTTCACAAATAGCATCCCCTGTATGACTTGTGACTTGACAAAAAGTTAAGATCTTCTTCTGTAAGTTCCAATTATTGTCAATGAAATGGGCCGTCACCCACATATAGCTCAACTTTTGACAAGAAGTCCACATATCAGTGGTGAGACAAACTCTTTGACAATTCAGAGAGAGAAAGTTTTTCAAAATCATTTTTTATGTGTCCCATAGTTTCAAGACATCACGTGCCAATGTTGTGCGCGAACGAATCTGAAATCTTGGTGAAGCGAGACTCATAAATTCATGAAAAGACTCATGTTCAACCTTCCGAAAAGGAACCTCCATGTTAATGAACATCTTAACCATTGCTCTTCGAATAGCTTCTTGGTCAAACTTGACAATTAAAGGAGAGCCAACATGTTCTTTAGCACTTGTCATGGAAGATGATGTCCTTTGTCTCTTGTAAACAAGGCATCTTGATAAATGAGCATGCATAGAACTAGTTCTATTATTATACTTAATTTTTGTGTCACAGTACTTGCACGAAGCTTTTTGTTCTTCTTCTGACGATATAATGAAATGATTCCAAGCCTCTGAACGGTTCTTTCACTTCTTAGTGTGAGGAGGTGGCATTTCATTAGAGATGGTAGGTGGAGGGGTTGAAACCGTATTCTCGGACGTTGCATACATTGGCAAGTAACTAACATTAGTCATCTTGATTCTGTTAAATATAGGAAAACAATTTCATATTAGAAGAACAAGATTAAATCAGACATTTTAGATATTGGTCTATAAATCAAATTACATACACAACAGTCATGTGTTTCTATCAATAAGTACAATAGTTATTAGAATATCAACTTGATAAGCCTTGTTCTAGGAATAGGTACAATAGTTATTAGAAGCTACAACATGCTAAAGTATTTTGTCATATGAAATATTTCTATATTGCATACCAATAGCGAAAGACAAAAAGGTTAACTAAATACGTGTAGTAGTAATGCTAAAACCTCAGGAAAAAAATATGAATTTAACCGACCAGTAGGAATAAGTCATTGATGTTAGTACCGAGGTTTTCATGACTTTATGTCATTGACTTTGGCATATTATTTAAAGTTCTTCCAATTAAAAAGAATGTTTTGAAATCGTATGCATACTACCAATCAATGAAGTAAGGCTACACTAAAAACTCTCCTGAGTCGCACCTAATATGTACTGATACGCCCAAATTTTTTTATTTAAAAAAACACAAAATTCCGATATACCCTGATACGCCATCGACATGTCTCCTTTATGTCACGAATACGACCAGGTTATCTCATGACTGTTCATTTTTCCGGGTTCATGAATCAAACTTTCCCCTTCTTAACTACTATTTTCTCAACTCTAATCATCTCCTCTTTATCCTATTTAAGTTGTGATGCACCCATTTAATATTCTCTAACGGTTACCATTTTTAAGTTGCGTTTCTTTTTTATGGTGTTGGATCGGAACTCTTGAAGTTGCATCATTGTCTCTTGATGAACCAGATTTGGAAGTCACTCTATTTACTGATGATAGTGAAGGAGGACACGACAATAATACTATTCCAATATCTTAGTTTAGATTTAATATTTAGTAATGTGTTAAAAGATGTGATCTAAGTTTGGATTTTGTTAGACAATGATTAAACTTCATGTCTAATTTTAATTTTTATAAGCATATTTGAAACGTATCATATCCTATATTTTTCAATGACGGGCGTATCACTGTATCGGAAACATATCGTGTTTGTGCTTCATTATTGCCGATCAACGCAATACAAACCAATCTTTTTGAATAGATATATAAATTCACTTCTTATCAGAATGAGAGAATCGTGTTTGAAATAACTTGATGTTAAGGCCACAAAAGAAAGTTTTATAAATAGGTAAGTATGCTAAAAAAGACAGTGAATATCAAGAGACATTGAATCTGACCTGTGACCGATAACAAAACGTATGACTATGCCCTTTTCTTCCTCCAACTTCTTTCTATCCTCAGCTGATGGAGTTTTATTCGAAACCGTGGATCAGATGCTAGATACTAGAATTTCGCAGACAGGAAATGCGAAAGAGGCCCCGAAAGACTTAGTCACATCTGATAGGAAATGCTAATAAAAAACCTTTCCCAGGTAAATACTAGGTGCAATAATGATGGAAAATCAAAATGAACATCTGCTACTGATGTTTCTCTGTACGTGTTGCGGCTGTTTCTGCATGGAATATAAAAGGTTTAGAGAGAAGGAAAATTTCAGAAAACTACATATTATGTGTTAATTTTGAGTGTTTATTTTAAGCAAGAGTTTGATTAGGCAAAAGTTTGATGATGTAGACTAAAAAATAACTTTTTAATACAGATCAAGAAGAAGAAAATAGAGAAATGCCAACAATATCATTAGTAAAAGGTTTCACCCAATTACTAGCAGTTAACTACAACTCAGAATAAACTATGGTTTGAACAAACAAATGTAGATAATGTACAAAATATGTTCTTGAATATAAATAAGGCAAAGAGATAGATAATTCACCATTTTCACAAACTTTTATCAATCATGTATTTAATCATTCATAAGGTCAGCAAACTTATACTCATCTAATAAGTATCAAACAATTACAATTAGTGTTATCAATTGAGCATTAGAAAGTATAATCATATTTTCAAAACTAAATTGTGTATTCCATTAATACAACTTCTAATAATAAAGAATGCATGGGTTATGGCCTCAACAAAATCTCACAAAATGCCAAAAAGAAAAACAGTATAATTAGTGTTATCAATTGAGCATTAGAAAGTAGAATCATATTTTCAAAACATAAAAACCAAAATTGCTTATCGAAGCAAATAAACCACAAGAATTCTTTCAACTATCTTTCAAAATATGGTTGAGAAACAACATGATGAAAGCATATATATTCGAATTTAGATTTTTCCAGATGAACCTGAAAATAGAAGAATAAAATGGTAATGTGAATTATCAACTAATGCCAGGAAAGAACTATTAATCTCATGCAGTCTATGCTGCTAAAACATGTGAGTTTACACCATCCAATCATTTTGACACTTTAAAAGTAGAACTTCTTTCATTAAATATTGAGATAGCTAGATACAAATTTACCATCACAACTTCACCACCAACCCACAATAACAAAGGGCTGGATATTTTTAGTAGAAGTGGGAAGCAACAACTGCAACTTCTACATATATAACATAAACTAAATTTGGTGAATCATATTCAGACTTTATATGACTAGCTTTGCATACAGACAACTATCAACCAAAAACAACAACATACATTAAAATCTGTCTGTTGCAATGACTTACTTTATGTGAGTCATACATGTCAAAGATGGAGTCTGGAACAATCAAAGGCAACTTATCTATGTACATGAAAACTCTTATGAGATTCTCTCTTGTCACTGTTGACATACCAACCACGTCCCTTCTATCTGTGAATACCCAGAGATCCCCCGAATTCACTCTTCTTCCAACCCTTGTGTCAACTTCTCTAGTCACAAGCAAATGTTATGGAGATATATTAAGTCTTTATTGCATTCAGAAAATTCACACCAATATTCACACCAAGTTCAAGCAAATTTCAGAAACAAAATTTACACCAAGTTCAAGCAAAATTCAGAAACAAGCATGAATGAATCGTGAAAACAATCGATTGAATTAAAAAGAAATAGAAAAAGGTTCAAATGAAACTAAAAAGCTTCAAAGTAGAAATTTACTTACCTCAAACACAGAAGAGAGCTTGACGATGTTGTCGAAGGATGACTTTATTGAATTTAAAGAACGAATCCATCGATTTTACAACTATTTTAGTAAACCCATAGTTGTGGTTTAGATGATTTTGTTGAATATGAAGAAAGATTTCATGGATTTCATTGGATTAGGGTTTTGGATTTCGGTTGATTTCGTTGTGCGGCTGGGATAAGTGAGAAAGAGACACGGTTTTGAATCTGGTACCCAATAAGCTGAACCGATTTAGCATATGGGTACCGGTTTTTTTAATTTTATTAAAAGGGCCCCCAGTTTTAAAATATAGTATTGGGATGGGTTTTAAAAAGTGGAATAATTTGAATACCAATTTGGTTATGTATAACTGGTTTTTCTGCACACCCCTAAATATATCTCCATAACATTTGCTTGTGACTAGAGAAGTTGACAGAAGTGTTGGAAGAAGAGTGAATTCGGGGGATCTCTGGGTATTCACAGATAGAAGGGACGTGGTTGGTATGGCAACTGTGACAAGGTAGAATCTCATAAGATTTTTCATGTACATAGATAAGTTGCCTTTGATTGTTCCAGACTCCATCTTTGACATGTATGACTCACATAAAGTAAGTCATTACAACAGATAGATTTTAATGTATGTTGTTGTCTTTGGTTGATAGTTGTCTGTATGCAAAGCTAGTCATATAAAGTCTGAATATGATTCACCAAATTTAGTTTATGTTATATATGTAGAAGTTGCAGTTGTTGCTTCCCACTTCTACTAAAAATATCCAGCCCTTTGTTATTGTGGGTTGGTGGTGAAGTTGTGATGGTAAATTTGTATCTAGCTATCTCAATATTTAATGAAAGAAGTTCTACTTTTAAAGTGTCAAAATGATTGGATGGTGTAAACTCACATGTTTTAGCAGCATAGACTGCATGAGATTAATAGTTCTTTCCTGGCATTAGTTGATAATTCACATTACCATTTTATTCTTCTATTTTCAGGTTCATCTGGAAAAATCTAAATTCGAATATATATGCTTTCATCATGTTGTTTCTCAACCATATTTTGAAAGATAGTTGAAAGAATTCTTGTGGTTTATTTGCTTCGATAAGCAATTTTGGTTTTTATG